AGGCATAACTTTGGACCTTGCTTGTCCAAGAGAGCCATTTCTGCATGGCGGGACTTGCAATCGATGTGTTGCACCACATAGTGCACATTTTTTGCATGAATGATTGAGCTGTAAAGTTTGCAAAATGTCCTCCCTCAGGAATTTCTCCTCGCAGCCTATTGAATGACAAGTTTAAGTATTCAAGATACCTTAGAGCCTCCAAGGACTTGGGAATCACTCCAGACAGATTGTTATTCGATAGATCTAAAAACTCTAAATTTATTAAGGAGCCGAATGACTTAGGAATAGGTCCTTGAATGTTGTTACCCGCCAGGGATAGAGAAACTAATGATTGAGCACCTCCAATGGAGCTCGGGATGTCGCCTGACAACTTATTCCATGACAAGTCTATTTGTGCTATGACCCTCAATTTGCCAATATCTGATGGTATGTAGCCACTTAAAAAATTTGAAGAGAGATTGAGACCAAGCAGATCTCTAAGGCTCCACAAGTTTAAGGGCACTGTGGAATTCAAACTGTTGGAATCTAGGAAGACACTTGCTAGGGATTTAAGTTCACCCAAGCATGCTGGTATGGGTCCATTGAGCATATTGTCACTTAAGTATATGTGTCCCAAGCTCTTCACCTGGCAAAGATTTGTGGGGATGAATCCTTGTAGTCTATTATGCTCAAGATATAACCGTGTGAGATGTTTCAATCTCCCGAGTTCTCTCGGGATGAATCCTGTCAACTCATTGCTATCTAAGCTTAATCTCTCCAAGCTACTCAAGTTTCCAATTCCACTAGGAATATCCCCTTTAAGTTTACATCCAAATGCCCCCAAATATACAAGAGAAGTAGAGAGATTCCCCAGTGACATCGGGAGGATGCCGTTTAGCTGATTGATTGACAATTCCAACATCTTCAAGTTTCTGCAATTTGTTAAAGAAGAGAAAAATCGCAATTCTATAGTGGAGGATTCCCTTGTCAGATTATTTTCCCCCAAAATAAGATAGGACAGGAGTCTTAAATTGCCAAGATCAGGAATAACGCCGGTGAGTGAGTTGGCACTCATGCCCAAGAGGGTAAGCTTAGAAGCATTCGAGATGGAGCTTGGGATTATTCCGGTGAGCTTGTTGTTGTCAACTATAAGACTTTCAAGATTGGGAAGCCAAAGCCCCATGCTCAATGGAAGATAACCAGAAAAGTCATTGTTACTCAGCACCAGTGATTTAAGAGTTGAACTATTGAATATTTTGGTTGGAATAAGGCCAGTGAAGCTGTTCTCACGGATGACAAAACTCACCAGATTAAGATTACCAATCTCATCAGGTAATTCACCTGCCACAATATGAACAACCATGCATTAATCAAGCTTTAGCATGCTTGCAGAAAGGGGTGAATAGGTTTATCAATTAAGTGTGTGAACCCTTTTTACCAATCAAGAACAACTCGCCATGTTAATGGATGCAATGATATGTCAATTAATTGCTCAACAACCCAATTCACATCAATGATGATCCCTCTAACATAACTAATTCTCACAAAACCCAATATGATGAATGTTCAAGTTAGATAATTCAATGTGACATTTGATCAAACTTCGTGAGTGCAATTGTGAGTGTGTGTGTGTGTATGGCGCGTGTGTGTGTGTGTGTGTGTGTGTAAGTGTGTACAATCAAGCAACAAGAAGCATCCACAACACAAACAATTTATTGATGTGAAAACCCTCCTTGGGAAAAACAATAGCACCAATACCCAGTTCACCTAAAGTCTAATCCATTACTCCAAAGTCAATTTATAAGTACTTGAATCTTATACCTCAACCAGTACTCATGGTTAGATGCTCATTTTTGTTGTAAATCTATCCTTTGAATTCGTCCACCAAAGTCTTCAGTAGTTTCACTTGGACACACTCACCACAAGGAACAATCTTGGCCTTGAGCAATCTTCTCTCCTAAGATCCTAGGTATGTACAACTAAAGTGGGTTTTGTGAAACTAAAAATAAGATCTCCTTCATCAATGGGTGAGGTTGAATTGGGAGAATAAGTTGGTTTTGGCCTTTTTGTATTTAGGGATCTAGGGTTGACCTTGGCTCTCTAGATGTTGTAGAGGCAGTATTTTAGAGTATTAGAGAGTTATCCTAACTTGTGAAGACTACCCTATTTATAGGTCCAAAAGTAGGTTTGTATTGGAATCCAAGTAAACACAAATTCCCAAACTACCACTTGAGCCATTAGAGAGTTGTGGGAGGACGATTGTCACTAGAATGAGAAAATGGTTCAAACCAAATCTATGGAGCAAAGACCACTTGAGGCGTCCCAGGATGCTCGAGCAGCCAAAGGGCGGTCACTATTGCCCAGCTCGTCAGCCTTCTCTAATTTTTTCCTAAGTGTTTAGAGATTGCTCTAGCTGAAGACAAGAAAGCATAAGATGGTCCCTACTAGTTTTTAAGCTAGAAACCAAATAGAAACTTGACATATTGAACACTAAGTAGTCTTGCTCAAATAGAATTTGATTCATGACTCATTCTATCTTTCAAAACACATTTAAGATTTAGGTAGAAAGTGGAACGAACCAATAGCAAAAAATTAAAATTAATTGTTTTAGGTTGTGCCGGCCAATGATGTAGAATCAAATTTCAATTTTTTTTCTTGCTTCAATTCTGATTCTGAAACATATTCCAATGTTTTCTAATCCCAAGCTGACCAAAACTCATCATTGATGAAAGTTTAATCCTTGTGGATAATATACAAGAAAGATTGTTATAAAAATAAGGGCGACAAAGATTCTAATGTACCTGTGAAGTTGTTGATATTTAGATACAGACGTTTGAGCAAAGTGAGGTTTCCAACTTTGTTAGATATTCCACCTGTGAAATTATTATCTGACAAAGATAAGATTTGAAGCCCTCTGCTTTCCCATAAGACTGATGGGATGGGGCCACTGAGCTGATTGGAGGAAAGCAATAGGTTTTGAAGAAGAGGTACATTAGAATGAATATCCATTGGAAGGCTTCCGGACAAGCTATTATTTGAGAAATCAACCTCTATCAAAGAAGAAATATTGAAGATGGCTGATGGAATGAACCCTGTTAGAGAACCACTTATTATGCTCAGTATCTCCAAATGTGCAAGATTAGCTATCTCCTTTGGAATTCTACCTGCATGGTGCCAAGCAAATTTTCAATTGGATTATTCTAATTTGTGAACAATTAGATAGGGATGTCAATTTTACATATTAACAAAAACATGATACAAATATGACACGATCACAAAAATAACACGAGTAATTAACACAAATGATAAATGCGCTCGGATAAATGTTGAACACAAGTAACTCATTTATTGGTATTGTATGCTTATTTTATTTTTCAATTTCTTGAACTAATATTGTACAAGTTATTTTAGAATTAAACGATTTTATTAACACGAACATAATGCCAACATAGAATGAAACCAGAATGAAATGACACGACTATGAAAAGTTGCGAACATAGGAGTGTAGACACACTTTGCTTAGTTCGGACAATTGTCCCCACTCAATTTTTTGGTGCAAATTTTTTTTATACATGTTCCAATACAAAATTTAAATTTGTCCCCTCAGAAAAGTTTAAATGTGTTTTGATCTAATTAATCATCTCACATTTATAATAAATCTTGAAACTCACGATTAGGTTGCCTGGCTAATATATCATTAGTTGAATTGCATCATCATACTTTCAAAATATCATCCCAAACTTTTTATTCTCTTTCCTTGTATATCGTCCCCTCTTTCTCGCCATTGTTAATTTGAATATTCAGAAAAACATAATTAATAACACTGATATTAAAATTATTATCCAATAGTTTCAAAGCATGAAACTAGTCAAGAACAAGGTTTTTTTAAAATTTCGATCCTATATTAGATCGGTAGAGATTGATAAAGGATCTAAATTGTAGGATCAGATCGAGAATTGTAATATTCTACGAATTGAAAAGTTGAGGAGGAAAATATATGCAACAATATAGAATTCTTAAAACATGAATAAAACAAGCCTGGTATATGAGATATGATTAAAATTTCAGAAATTACAATTTGAGCAAAGCAGACTGAAAATTAAAGGCGAACTATTTATCTAGTGGGGTTGGTAAACAGAAATAGTAAAATTGAAATATTTTTATCTTAAAATTCAGAGAGAGAAAGATATAAAGGAAAGACCGGAAAGTTGAGAAACTATTGAATAATCAATTTTAAATGTTCGATACCCAAAAAAAAATTGAAAATTGAAAATGGAAAACTATCTGACTGTAACCACTCACAAAGAAAAGAGATCAAACCTAACTGTTGTTTTCAATTTCAACGAGAGAGACAAACAAATGAAGAGAGTTTTCTGTAACAAAAAAGAACTTTCTATATCTTTTCTTATCCATAGAAATCCTTCAATCGACTGTCAATTATATGAGACAATTACATTTAGATAGAGTCTATTAATATTAAAACTATAAATACACAATAAATACGAGTTTGGTCAGCTCGAAAACTAAATGCACCTAATAAACAAGCCCAACAACTGGGATTGATAAAATCATAATTTGAATTGTAATCTTACGATTCTATAAGAGTCAGATCACAATCCATTAAGATTCTACTAAACAATCGATTTACATGTATGGATCGGAGGATCATAAGATCCTATGATCCGGATTGGAATTTTGATAATTATGGTTGAGAACCATTGTAAACATATTGATTAGAAGTATTATTGATTGATATTTCAGTTATCATTCAGTAATGTTTTTTTTTGGGTAACTCTTTTAAAGTAAAAAAGCAATTTCATTGTAAAAGTAAAAATACACTTTATCACAATAACACAAATTGAATTATATGGATCGTAATATATGACCAATATATTTATATATGCGCAAACGTATACTACTATACATGTGATTAAACGTTAAAATAGGGTAAGTCAAGATAAGAAAAAGTAAAAAAGTAAACATTCAAACACAAAATGTACCAAAAAAGTATTTAAAGTGTTACAAAATTGTAAGTATATGAAGAACGTTATAAATTCTTATGGGACCTTTTTTTGTATTTATTGATTCAATTTTTCAACTTCATTTATTGTTAAAATTTGCCCCCACTTGAGAAATTTTCTAGCTCCACCCCTAAACGAACATAGCACGACATGAACATGAGACAACTGACACTCTTATTTGTAATGTATGTAATCTAACATCACACAAATTGCAAGTAAGTGGAGTAGTAATCTCAGGAGATTTAAAATAATTATCAGTTATGAAAATTGTGGATTATTAAGTTCATTGTCTACTTTCATTACCAAACACTTTCAAAGCGAATGATTGATCCATCCTATAGTTATTTTTGGATTCTGACTAATATTCTGGGATATGGTAGCATTGATAATTTTAGTTAATCTTTTCTAGAGTAAAAATAAACAAGAAACATGTATGTTCATCAGTTTTCATTTATAAAAAGATAGTTAAGCGTACAGTACATGAAAAAAAATTATATAGTATAAGGAGAATATGAAATGTTTATCCATGTATCATACCTGTCAAGCTGTTACTCCCCAGATATAACTCTTTCAGCACAGTCAAGTTTCCGATTTCTATAGGTATTCCACCATAGAACCCATTGAAGGACAAAGAGAGACGTTGAAGCTCCCTACACTTGTATATATTCGATGGAATTAGGCCGTCGAGACGATTTTGAGAGAGATGGAGTCCTTCTAGTTTAATAAGATGATTGCAAATATCAACTGGCAGATTACCAGATAAGCTATTAGCTGTGAGATCAATTGCTTGCAAAGCAGACATGTTGAATATTGTTGATGGTATTGAACCTGTCAGTTGGTTATACCTCAAGTTTAATAACTCCAAGTTGGACAAATTACCAATTTCAACTGGAATATTTCCCTGTAAAACATTATGCACAATATTCAATTTCTCTAGCTTTGAGATGTTGCATACATAAAGTGAAGTGGTGCCTTTTTATGGGAATGACTAGCTTGGTACCATAACGAAATTCATAACTAAATAGGTGTTAACTACAACTCACTTGAGGTCAAATTATAATTCAAAAAGGTCAATTACAACTCGGAATAGAGTCAGAATTTTATCCTTAAGGGGCCAAATCTGATGTAGAGAAACTTAGACCAACAACATTTATGTTTTATAGATTTAAGTTTCAATGCAAAAAAATATATCTTAGCGGAATTATAATCAATATAAACAAAGATAAAGGATGATCTAGTGTACGAGGCTCATCATTGCAGAGCTTGGGAGGGTCAGATATATACAATTTTACCTTCGCATGTAGAGAGGCTATTTCCGTTTCTAATAAAAAATGAATAGTCTTTCAAAAATAGTTCTTGTAAATTAAAGATTCTAATACAAAAGAAGCTAAGCAAAATGAGTAGTTTTCCAATACATATCGACTTAATCATCTATCAAAATAAAACTAGGTTATCTTTTCAACAAGAGAATTCATCTATTATTAAATCCATTTTCTTCTCTGCCTGTTCAATGAAAGTCTCTGTAAAGATTATCCTATAGAAACACCTGGATGTATAGGAATACCAAGCCATTGCTTTTGAGCTTTAGATTTGATGGTTTGTTTTGAGCTTGCTAGGGCTTAAGATGGACAAGTACTATCTTTTAGTCTTGAGATGGGGCTCTTTGTTAGGAATTTGGGGGAATTTAGATCATTTTCACTTAGGCATTCATTTATAAAAATCAAAATATAAAATAGCATTTTAGTGCCCGAGACTCGCACCACTGCAAAAACTAGAGTCAACAAAAAAAATGCTTTTTACAATATTTCAATAAAAAATTGAAGTGAGTCAGAATCTAATAGAATGACTCATGTTTCAGATAAGTTCTTAAATATTATAGTTAACTACTTATTTAGCGACTAAATTATACCATTTTGTGTCAATCAAGTTCCTGAACTACGTTTTATGTCAATTTAGTCCCTAAACTATATAATCTAACACAATGTGTCTCTTCCGTCGAAATTCACCATTAATTTTGACGAAAACCTTCACGTGCATGTCACATGATTCTTAAACTATTACCAAATCTCAAACTCAAATGGTATGCATGTGAGGATTCCGTCAAACTTAGAGACGAATTTTGACTGAAGAGCTACTTTGTGTTAGATTACATAGTTCAGGGCTAAATTGATACAAAACATAGTTTAGAGACTTGATTGACATAAACAATATACTTTAAGGGCCAAATAAATAAAGAAAGAATTGTATTGAGATCCCCTAAGGTTTATCAATTAATCACTCAGACCCCTTGACATTTAAAATATTGCACCCACACCTCCTTAGGTTTGTTCACACATAACACTTAGATCTCTGCCGTCAAATGTTCGTTAATATATCTGTTAGTAAATTATATCAGACCCTCTAAAGTTTGTAGGTGTATAATACTTAAACCCATCAAGTTTAAAATGTTATATATAGGACAAAAATACTCTAGTCAAAGATATAATATCAAATATTTTAAATTTTATAACCAAAATCCATGTTCTCTTGTATCATTTATTGAAATAAAATCAAAAATAAAAGGCCAATTTTTTCTTAAAAACTCATAAATAGTATATAATTATACTATCTATTAGAATAAACCCAAAAAAAATCAAATAAAGGGGTCTAACTCATTCATAATAGAACATGAATGTTATAACCAAAACTTATGTTCTATTATGTCATTTATTGAAATAAAATCAAAAATAAAAAACTTTTTTTTTCTTTAAAAAAATCATAAGTAGTATATACAATTATACTATCTGTTAGAATAAATTTAAAAATTCAAATAAGGGATCAAACTGTAATTGACACAATATATTCTAGTTTTAATTGAAATAATTTGGTAGTTTAATTTGATCATTTAAATTATCAAATTAAATTCTAATATATACTATAATTGTATATTAATTATAATTTTTAAGAAAAAAATTAGATTTTTATTTTTAATTTTATTTCAATAAATGTCATAATAGAACATGAATTTTAGTTATAAAATTTAAAATATTTGACTAGAGTATTTTTTGTCTAAATGTAATATTTTAAACTTAAGGGGTGTAAGTATTAAATACTTATAAATTTCAAGGGGTCTGGATGTAATTTAGTAACGAATATGTTAACGGACATTGACGGTAAAGAGTCTAAGTGTTACGTGCATACAAACTTCAAGGATCTATATATAATATTTTAAATGTCAGAGAGTCTAAATAATTAAGTAATAAATTTTAGAGGTCTAAGTGTAATTCACCCATAAATTAACTGTAACTAGTATATTAATTGAACCTCCCAACCTTTGGAAACGAAAAAACCCCTACCCACACAAAACTGCCCGCCCTTATCAAATATGCTCCCTTTCTTGCGTTCTCGGCCGCCCTTCTATGTCACAGGTGGTGACCCTCCGGTGGCTGGTTCGCACACACCCAAGGAGAGAGAAAGAGAGTGTGTGCATTTCGAAACTAGTTGAAACACAATAGTGTCATCAAAATCATCCAAATTCATCCACAAATCAACTACAATCAACCTATCACACCGACCTATGCTTAGAAATTTGAGAATTGCACAAATTTAAAATGAAACCTAATTTTTTTTTTTTTAATTTTAGTTTATACTTTAAAATATTAAAAATTATAAATTATTCCTTCAATCGCATTAAAAGGTGGCACGTGATTAGTTTTTCTGAAATTGAGAATGAAAACTTTATATAAAAGATTTAAAACTAAGTAATAGACAAATAATTAAGCATAAACATGAAAAAATTATAAAAACTATATCTCAAAAAAATTATCAGACAAAACTACAATTTTTTTTTGTTTTGGACCACATTATTATTATTTTTTTTTTTATCTAATTGACGGTATCACATGGAAATTTTAATCTTTTAAGTTATAAGTTGAAAATTAATATTTTTTTTAGAGCTAAGGTTCTCATGAGAACCTAAACCTTGCAATTAATTCCACCATTGAAGTTGAAGCTAAAGCAGAGGATCTTCCAAAACACTGGAGATCCATTAGGGCTAAGATTTTCATCAAATAGATAAACTACTATGTGACAAACTATTTGATTTTTAAAAACATGTAAGGCCTTAAAATGATAATTATAGTTTAAAAATATAATTCTAGTTATATATGTATCTTTAGGCATGAATTAGTACTTTTAAATAAATATTTGAGTAATAATGAGTAAGCATGTGCAAATTAGTCGAATTCGCGAATTAAAAAATTGAATCCGCGAATTTTGTAAAATGAGAGCGAATTTACAAAGAATTAGCTCCCAAAGCAAGAATTCGTGTGCGAAGCATCAACTGTTTACATGAATTATGTGACTAAGGGCATGAGTGGAGGTTGAGTGTAAATCAAAACGTGATGAGTTTTGTACACGACAACAATTACGAATTTATGATAATCATTAAAACTATTAAAGATGAATTTGTAATAATCATTTAAATTTTCAAGTAACATATGATATCATTGCTTCTTTGGTCATATGCTTGCTATGTCACTTGTTATGACTTAGCGAAATCAAATTATAATGAAAAGAAATTAAAATGATCCTAAAATATCATAACACATCTCAAATAACTTATTTTATAATATTCTTCCTAAATATTTTTTGGATCAGACACAATTATTGGAAAAGGGACGAGGAAGTTCGAATATGCAACTTTAAAGTCCGACAATAGGGGCAGGGACTATTGGACTAACCGTTGTGATTAAAAAAGGGTTTTGAGATATTTTTACTCAAATTTAAGTTTGAATCTAAAAAGGGACAAGAATTGGTGATGCTCTAACCTCATATTCTTCCTAAATTGAGTTGCATACCAACCCTTATTTTTGTAATAAATTTGTATATGACATGAAATAAGTAATTCTTTAATGCCATAACTTTACCTGGAAAGAATTATTGTACAAGCGCATGTGTTGAAGATCTGTGAAGGTTCCAAACCAAGAGGGTATCTGTCCGGTGAACTCATTAAATGACAAATCAACCTCTTTCAACCGACCCAAGTGAGCTAGTTCTTGGGGTAGAAAGCCATGAAAACTGTTAAAACTAATGTCAAGTGAAGCTAGAAATGAGAGGTTTCCCAGATGCGGAGCGATGGTGCCTTGGAGACCCATGTCAGAGAGATTCAAGGCAGTGACTCTCCGATGACGAACGCTGCAAGAGACACCAGTCCAATTACAAATAGTGGTTGAGGTGGACCAGTTGGTTGCCAAGATGTTATAAGGGTCTGAAGTTATGTGGGCTTTGAATGCTAGAAGAGCTGATTCATCTGTGGTGAGGTTGGTCATAGTGTGTGAGGAAGCCATGAAAGAGTTCATCACCAAGAAAATTAAGACAGGGAAGAGAGAGAAAGTTTTGGCCATGAGTTTGTAGGAGTTGGAGCGAGATGTCCTGAATTCAAACTTGGTTCAAGTGTATAAGAAAGAAGAAACTATAGCCTTCTATACTAGTTTTCTCCGTTTGATCTTTATACTCTTTGTCCTGTTGTGACCACACAATGCAACTACCTCTACATTTATTTAAGGACAAATTACATGTTGTGATTACACTTTGCTCCCAAAAACTATCTACACATCATTTGATTGGGGGTTCAACAAAGTGATACACGTCTCTATTCAATTTGTAATATATGCATGCAATGGGAAAATGTGAAATCAATAACATTAGATCGAAAGATAATGTGATAAACACGACAATTAAGGGTGCAATATGAAATAGTTGAGGGGTCAAAAATTATATTTTGGCTAATTTGTAAGACAAATGTAATTGTTTATTATAAAAGTAATTTACGGGAAAAGTATCTTGACTTTTAGTCTTTTTTATAAGTACACGATAAGAATTAATAATTACATGAGAACCTCATTATTTTGACTCCTCTTTAGAACAAGTTGGTTTATTGTCCTTTTCAATAGCAGAAACAGAAAGAGAAGGGCACCACAAAGATGACAAACATATTATTTTCAATCTCGTGCAACGACAAGCGTAAGAAATAACCAATCTGAGCAAGCAAACTGCCCTTTGGGGTTTTTTTTTTCAAACTTGTGAAAATTTTCCAGTCTATTGTCAAAAGTTGGTTCGAATACAAAGCATCATTTGTCCAATAAGAACATGAGATTGTAATTTAAGGATCTAATTTGCTATTATTATTTTTGAATTAATAATGAATTCTAACATTAATAAAGTATATTGTGTCCCCAAAAGAAATCCCTAGATTAAAAATAAATAATATTACTGTCTAGGAATATAAATACGATGTTCACCTACTCAGTGGTCAGTGGTGCAAGGAGGAGCCACTTGTGTATTGTTCTTGGCTTCTTGTCCTCAATAAATGGCCGGATTTATTGAGGACAACATATGGTATGAAAGGTAACTGGAAGACTTTTCAAAAAAACTGCTACGGTACCAATATTAATCACATTTGTGAATTTTTTATTATTATTGTGATATCGCAAAAAAATGGTAAAAATAATTATCACAACAGTGATAAAAATATCCACAAAAATAATAAATTTTTTTTCTACCAAAAAAAGTTACAAAAATAGTTTCCACAAGAGTGATAAAATTAAAAACTCCTACAAAAGTGGTATTTTTTTATTTTTTATTTTTTTGTAAAATACCTACAAAAATTATAAAAAGTAAAAACACTCATTAAAATAGTAAAATTTGTTGATATTATATCAAAATTATTTGTTTGGGTACCCTAGTTATGTCCTACATTTTTAAAATAGTAAGTGTGTTCAAATTTCTGATTACCCGAATATTTCAATCTTATCCTACACTACTGATCGGCTACCGCAAAAAATTGGATAGGCTAACAGAATAAATTTTTGTATTTTACAAAAATCGGGTAGGAATGTGAAATACCTATAAAAATTTTGTCTTCCTACCAGCATAGATATATTTACTTTTTAACATTTTGAAAAATGTGTATCTGTGTGTTTAATTTCTAACATTTTTAACACTGTTAATGTGTGCAAAAAACACAAATTAATGTGTCAAATTTTTAACATTTTAGCATTTTAACATTTTTAATATTATTGTGTTGGTTAATTGGTGTAGGTTATTTAATTGAATTGTTAAATTGATGTAAAAATGAATAATTAAAAAATATTTTATTCACCCGACTTCCTACCCAATTATTTTAGATGGAATTCGAATAGAAATAATACATTTGATCGAGTAGGGTAAGCTACGAAAAATATTTTTCACAAAATATTGAATAAAAAATTAAAATAACATAATTCCTACCCGAGTCAACGACCCCGCTTCCCTCCCTATCTCCATTTGTCTGCACAATTAATTAGGGATGTTCACCCTACCCTACGGGTTGGAGATATAGTCTTTCGTCTTCTACCTGATACTTTGCGAAAGAATTTTTTCTTGACCTACTCTACCCGATCAGGTGTGGTATTCTTACCCAACTTCCTATCCGATTGATCAGGTAAGAAATCGAGAAGGAAGTCGGGTAAATATTTTTGTATCTATTAATTTTTGGATCATTTTAAAAATTCAATTAAATAACATGCACTAATTTAACAGCATAATAAATCAATAACACTAAAATTTAAAACAATTACAATAAAACACAAAAAAGTATGGACATCAATAACAATTATTTTTAATTTAAATCATATGAAACACATTAAAATCATAATTGTTTCAATAAATTACCAGTTCATCACAAATCATATAACCTACACAAAAAATAAGTTCATGTTTTAGCAACTCAAACATCCACAATAATAATAATGTTATAATATAAATTATACTACACAAATACTCTTACAATTACTAAAAAAAAATATTAAAAAATTAAATATATTTTTTGCATATAAGAAAGGGTAGAAATGCAAAAATTGATGGGTATTCCGCATTTCTACCCGATTTAATCGAAAGACCAAAAACTTTTCCACGTTTTTATCTAATTTTTGTAATTAACCATTTAATAAGGTAGGATAAAATCGGATAGACTAAAAAATTATGGTCAATCAAAAATTTGAATACCCTCGTGGCTAACTGAGACACAGCTTTCGTACTAACTTTCAAGCCATTAATACTGAAAACGTGGTGGTTACAACGGCCATTTTCACACTGGTCCAGCCACTCAATACAGTGTAGTACATCGCTTTCAAAGCTCTCTTTTAAGCCATCCTCCTATTTGCTATGATTGTCTATAATAAATTTTTCAACCGTTAATATGCCATTAGAGGGACGTCCATAATCTGATGATGCCAACCAATTTATAGATGTTGACTTAGTCTTTAGTAAGAAATATAATATTAATTCTATTGTTATTGATTATATTGATTCAGATTATGCTAGTTATCTAGACAAAAGAAGATCTCTCTTTTTGGGTGCATTGTAAGTTGTAGGACGATCTTATAATCTACAGTTATTTTGTCTATCAGAGAGACAAAATATATAGCAATATTAGAGGTAGTTAAAGAAGCAATTTAATTGAGAAGTTTGGTCAATGACTTGAACTTGGAAGAGGAGGTAACTATTGTATTTTATAATAGTCAAAGTATAATATATTTAACCAAAAATTAAATGTATCATGAAAGGATCGAATACATTGACATTAGATATCACTTTCATCCTGACTCAAAATATTGTCATAGTGAATAAAGTTGTTACAGTGAAGAACCCAATAGACATTTTTACTAAGTCGATACCAGTACTCAAATTTAAACATTGTTTGAACTTAATTGATATTTGTACAGTTTGAGTTGTACCCTACAGGGTATTTTGCGAAGACAACAATCAATTTCACTTTAGTAGGTATTTTGCGAAGACAACAATCAATTTCACTTTAGTTGAATAGCGTGATGGAATACAAGTCAAGATAGAGATTTATTATATATGACTTGTATTCAAAATCTAATTGGATCCAATTTAGTGGACGTCATTCAGAATTTATGGGCACCGAGGTTTTGGTGGGTTTAAAGATATCAAGGATAGTTCATAACAATCCTTATCTACACCAACTTGGTTAAAGGTGGTTTTGCCCAACACATAATGGACTTTGGGGGAAACGCTTTGACTTTAGAAGTGTTTGGAAAAAAAAGGAGTCCAGAAGCTTAAAGCTTGGGAATGAGGGCAGAAGACGCTTTTCAGCTCTTTGAGTACTCCTAATGCTTTTTAGGGCGAAAACGTCTCCTTTTTGGTGGTATCTTTCTGGCGGTTCGTGATTATGGGTGTCTGTGGACATGTTTTCCCCATAAACATCCATCAATTGTGTGGTAACTGACGTGGAAGGTCCTTCTAACAGTAAACTGGTTATTTTTCATAGACTGATACCAGCTTTTGAAGCAAAATTTTGAGCTGTCTCCACATTAGTTCCCTAGACCACAACCATCTGAAAAATAAATCGAAAACCAGAGGAGCTCTAAAGTTGATCCTCCAATGCTTATGTTAGTATTAGGTCTGTCAACGGATCGGATATAAACCGAATTGGCCTATATCCAAATCTGAATCTGATTTCCAACAAATTTAAAGAATTCAATCCATGTCCAAATCCATTAATTTTTGGACATCTGATCCCATTTGATTATCACAAAAAACACATGTACAAGAATTTGGATAATGAACTAAGAAAAAGGAGGAAAAATGAAATTTTAAAGTAAAAACATGAGGGAAAATCAAACAAGAGGGCAAAAAAAATTTCATGAATAATACATTATAACATTCACTCTATTTGTTCTTATTTTCCACTATAAGTATAATATATTGATGATATTTATTTACATAATACATTTTTTATTTGAATCAGATTAATAACAGATCGGATTATTATAAATCCATATCCGAATCCGATTAGATAAACAACTCTAATCGGATTTAGATCAGATTAGATTAATGGATTGAAAATCTAATCCATATCCGCTTAAACAGATTCAAATTCGGGTTGAAATTCGGTCCATTAACACGCCTAGTTAGTATGAGACTCAAAAAAACAGAAAACTGCCATGTCTAAGCTATCGCATACTTGATACATTGATATTCACCACAATAAAGCATTACAATTTTAGTTACAGCAACTTTGCTATGAAACTAATAAGTGATTTCATCTCTTGGTCGACACAATTTCTGCAGTCCTGCACGTTCTTGTAAGATCTTACGCATAACAGTTTGGAATAGAAGCAAAAAGAATGGTCAAACGTATTAACAAGTGATACATCTACAAGAGAACAAGAAAGAGAGCCTAGTGGAAAGGTTTTGGCCACCCACCTTTCTCCCCGGTATGTCCCTCGTGGGTTCAAGCCTCGCCCCATGAAAATGCTTCCCCTACTCTCTGGATGTAATGGTTCTGAAAAAATATGATACCAGCAAATACCCAAGAGGGGGCTAACAAGACAATCCG